TGATGATTAACAATAAGAATGGGTTGATAATGCCAATAACTCCAGGGCCAAGAGAAAGTTAGGCATGAGTAAACATCTTTGAAGACAATATTTGAATTCTGACCTTGGTGCTTGGAACAGAGGAAGCTGTTTCTCACCTAGTGGACCTAATTATGCCTCAACACTACGGACTACAGAGTCTTAAATCTTTGTGTCAGCCACATTTTTATAGGAAATAGTTTAACTTCGTGTCGCATGTATGAAATATATTTGCAATAGGAACAGATATAGTTTTCATTTCTCTAACCAATTAAAATCGTAATATTATAAATATAATATACATATTTGAACCAAGACAAATATCTCAGTCTTCATCAGGCTAAAGTGAAAATATCTGAAATAGTGCCTTTTCAAACTTGGACAGGCTTCCTAAAACACATTTGCCTCCAGCATCCATGTTTGCACTTCAGCATATTGTTCTGTGCTTAATCAGATACAAGCACAGTTTGCTTCATCCTTCTAATCTTGATATTTTTCACTTTGCTGTATTTAGCTTAGACTGATTGCTCAGCTAAATATGTAGAATGGTAATTAGTTTAAAAGCATGGTAGATTTATAGAGCAGTTCTACAGTAACTCATTATTGGCTACACTGATCACATGGTGTGCAGTAACAGAATTAGTCTGGACATACTGGGGTAAATATGAAAGATAATATTTGTCAATTGAATGTTTAAAACAGCATTACCTGACCCAGGAATCAAAAATAAAGTTAATTTGATGTGCACTTTTTTTTTTAATAGAAGGGAAATTCATGGTCCCTGTCAGAGGACAGAGTAGTTGTGGCAGGAACAATCCTTGCCCTCCTCTCTCTCCCAGCTGACATCTTTGTTATCTGGCACCTTGATCCTCCCGCCTGCTCAGTCCCTGTGCTGTTCCCACACACACACATTCCCACTCAGCTGTCCCCCACATTCCCACTCAGCTGCCCCCACATTCCCACTCAGCTGTTCCCACATTCCCACTCAGACACTGCACCCAGGATGGAGGGATATGTCTGTGCTCGAGATGGTGGGATATTCATCCCTTGCCCTCTTGGAAAAGAAAGACACCCTAGTGGCTGAGGTACTGGTTCCAGAAGAATTAATTTTCCTCTCCTTGCTCAAAGTTGCTTAATTTCAATCCTTAATTCTTTAATGCTTCAGCTATCCCTTTGTAAAATGGGGATAAGGATCTTCCTTTTGTCTATCTAGACTGTAAGCATTTTGGAACAGGCACTTTGTTTTGCCAAGGTGCACCAGAAGGCTCTGAACACAGGACATGCTCATATTTTATGTTAGAATAAGGAACTCTGGCAACATATAAGAAAAAATTAAACAAATCAGTTGTCTTTTGCAAAGGGCTAATTCTGCTAGTTCTTCTTGACCTGATGTCTGCATTTGCTAGTTTAAACATCTCCAGGAATGAAACCAGGGTGATAGCCAGTAAAAATAGAAGAAGGGTGACAAGTCTTGTTTTGGCCCAAAGTCTGTTGAAGTAAATTGAAAAACAGTCCTTTTGCTTCAGTACTTCGTACATCAGGATTTTCGCTTGGAATGGACTGAAGGATTTCACAAGTGAAAGGTTTCCAAAGCAAGACCTAGTTCTGCTCCTGTGCTTCCTTCACTGGGAAGGAAAATCTCACTGCTACTGAAGGAGGAGAATGAGTCTTTTCATTTACACTGGATTTTCTGAAAAAGTAAAAGATCCTGGCAACTCTGCCTTTTGAACAAACATCTTCTGCAGGAGCACTTGTCTTAAAGCAGATTGTACTTCAACATTTGTGAACTAAGAGTTTGGGATATTCTGGTTGAGACCCCCTTGATTTCAACAGGAATCTTTCCATTCACTTTGAAGAACTTTGGGTCATGCCCTAATAGTGCAACTCTAGGAGGTTTCTATTCCATTTTCCCTAAAGATGTATGTTTTATTTTTGCAAAATGATTATCATTATATGGAAAAATAGTGTAGTACTTTAGTAAAACAAAGATAAATGGCACTGTGCCTCTGAGGAGGTTAAGTATTCCTGGAAAAGCTATTTTTCATTATATTTGTTTGAATTAGAGAGAGGGAGATTACTTTAATTTTGAAGGGTTTAGTAATTACTAGCAGCTCTCATAGCTGTGATACAATATAAAGGCAGCTCATTTAAAAGTACATCCTTTACTTTACAACTAAACCCTCTGTAGAGTCTTGTCCCTGTTGTGCTGCTGCTACTTTTCTTTTTAATTACACGTGTATTCATCTCTGATTATCCTGACAGAGGTGATATATGTTTGTGGAATTTTCCACATTTCTTCTGCATAAGCATAGAACAATAAAAACTGTGGTGCTTTAGCATGTGTATCATGTTCCCATGTTTTAGGTCTGAATATCTCTAGCTTATAAGCAGCCTGTCTATTTAAATGTGCAATCCACAGGTGCCTGGCCCTAATGTATCAGTAAAAGGTTTTGTTCATTACCACAAAAAGTTTTTAAAATCTTTTCTTCCCTATCCAGGGTTCAAGTGGGAATCACTGTGTGAGTGCCCACCCCGTGACACAGCACCCCTCTGCAAGCAGGATGCCCCAGCTGCAGAACTCCAGCTCTTCCAGCCCTTCAGCTGCTGGACACAGGTGTGCTGGGGAGCAGGTGGCCCTGGGGCACAGCCTGGTGGGACTTCTGCAGAGACAGGAACCCAGAGTTGGAACTGGAAGGGGAAATGTCACTGGGAGAGCTCAGATGATTTCAGAGAATGATAGTGGGAAACCAGTGTAGAGAAGGGAGCCTGATGGGCTCGAATGGAAAAGATGGGAAATGCCACATGTTTATCAGGAAAGAAGAAAGGTAGGAGTGATGGTCTGGGGGAAAGAACTGGTGCAGCAGTGGGGCAGAGCAGGCCCAGCAGGCAGCAAATACTCCCCCTCACCCTGAGCTCATTCCTCATGGGCACATTTGGCCTTTGAGAGGAAAGACTGTGGCAGTTACTTTGACAGGACAAAGTTTGTCTCCCTGCTGTGTTTTCACTTCGTTTTCTGTCTTGCTCTCACTACAGATATTTCTGGAGGAAATCTCCCACCATCTGCTCTCCAATTCTATCCACATGAATTTTCCACCATCATTTTCCCTGTTGCTTTATGTCTCTTTGTTATTTCTTAACTAATCATCCTGTTGGGAAGCTTCAAATTGATTTGTGTAAGGTGGGTTTTGTCTTCATGTACTAAATCACTGCTGAACAAAGTTTGGTATCTGTGTCCACTGGCTGATAAACATCCACCAAAAATATCCATAAACATTCCTGCATACAACTTCAGAAGCTTGGCTGAAATAGATTGGATGGGACATAAATGTATAAACTCCTCAAAGGTAAACAAGTTCTGGAATTGCTGGTGAGTTTTCAATCTGACTGTAGGGATATGCTGAGATACTGACTTATTTCAGACAAGCCAGAGGTAAAGAAGCCATACAAAATTACTTCAGACTTTTAATAACGTAAAAGTGTAGGTAACAGGAATACCGACCCCAACCTTAGCAAAGGCTACATTTTGAAAGAAAATTGTATATAAATGGGGACCTTTTGCTTCCCTATTTCGGCTCAGGAGCTAAGTGAGAGAATTCAAAATCAGGCCAAATACATAAGCACAGGATGAATGAAAATGGATTGGAATGAGTTGAAAATTAATTTAATTACCACATATTACAGTGATGCATTGAATAGTTGCATCTCATACAGCATTTGGCAAGTAGGAATCCAAATTTTGTCCTGTGGCCTGTAAGCACAACAGTAAAAAAAAAGTTCCCTTTTTGAATCCTCAAGAAAAGTCTTAGGAAAGAATGGCCTTCACATGGATGCATAAGCTGTCAAAAATACTACAACAATTAAATACCAGTAATTGCAAATTTATTGCATAATTTAAGAAAATCTTGCACATTTAAAAAGTAAGAAGTAGGATTGAGCCTCCAAGCAGCAATATATTAAAATATTTAAATGAAATTCCTATCCACAATAGAGAAAATGCTATTTATGACATGAAGGCAAATCTCTGTTGCGAGGTTAAGAACACCAAAAAGCAACCAGCGTGTTTTACTTTGTTTTCAGTTGTCGGGTTTTAAGTTGGGAAAATTTGCATGTGGCCATGGTTTGAGCTGTGGTTTGGCCCCACTCTTTTGTGCCACTCATCCTGCCTTTCCCACGGGAAGAGGTGGGATGTTGTGTCCAGAAAGGGGATCCTCCCTCCCTCCCTGTGCTTTCAGGCAGTGTGACTCTCTGGGTGATAAAGCCTGTCTGATGCTGCAGGAGAGAAGGATTATTAAGGCTTTACACAGTAGAGGTGTGATCTAGTTCCAGGTTGGTTTCTTCTATGGGAATGTTCCAAATGATATCTAATATTTAACCATAATTGAGACATTAAGAAGCAAACTGGTATTTTAAAACAGCCACTCCCCTGTTTTCTAGCATTGTATCGTTGTGAGCTGCAGGTAGCGTAAAAATTACCATCAGATTTTTCTGTTTCATTCTCCATTCTTAACCCATAGGTAAAACTCTTGGTCAGAGATACATCCTATTAAGCTCTATCAAGATAATGGCTGTTTTTCACAGGAGCTCACATAATGCCAAAGTCCCTCTTAAGCTCTGGAACTGAGAGGATCCCTACACCTTATATTGGGAAGGGTCATCATACAGCAATCTTTTGTAAATAAAGTACAGAGATAGGAGGTGAAATCCAGCAACACAAACACCAGGTTGAAATAATATGCCAAAATATGATATAATCTGGGTCAAAACATAATATATATCCCTGTACATAATAAGAGCACTCAGAAAACATAATATTTTAGCATCTGAATAGAAAATAACTTAACAGAGCAAACTTGTGTTTCAGGAAGGAGTGAGTACGACGCAGGAGATGGATAGTTTTAACTCACCACATCCTAAGTGGGAGGGGTTACTAAGCAAAACTGCATGTTAACCAGAAACATGGCTATGGTCTTTTGCATCTGTAATTATGGGATCAGGAATTCACAAATGTATCTTTTGGCGGTACGACACACCTCATCCACCCACTTGCCTTGGGATGAAAGAGAAAAAAACACACAGTTTTCACGCTTGCCCCCGTTGGGCTGGGCACGATCCCAGTTGAAGTACTGCAGAACCATACCATTGACATCAACAAATTTCCCTTCATTTATCATGTCAGTGACCCCCAGCCAAAACTCGGATGCTCTGGGCGTGCTTCTCTTGCCATAATCTCGGAGAATGTTTGTTTCCTCATTATTCCTTGGGATAGCCAGCGTCCCTCCCTTGGTTATGCAGTCTTCATTGGCTTCATGGAAATGTTTGGTGCCTTCTGACATGAGGTAGCACTTCTTATGGGCCTTTGTCCCACGGAGACACACTGGGAATAGAAATGAGTTTGTACGTTCAGTACAAGTGTGGGCAAGAGCTTTCAGTAATGGCTCTTCTAATGATAATTTTCTAAAGGTATGTTGAAAATGGAGCAGACAAGTCCCTCAGCAAGTGAAAGGCTTTGACTTCACAGAGTGGAGCTTCTTCTTTTACTGAATAATCCTGCTTTCACACATTTTTTACCTTATTTCATCAGTCTTGAATGGATGAGGTATGGATTGTATTGTTGGCAGATGTGAGTTGGTCATCAGGAAACCTTTATTTGGCATTATAGTAGAGACAGATCTAAATGTCTTTTAATATTTATGCTATTTAAGTGCTAAAGTAAAGTAAATTTTTATACCTTAACTAAGCTCAGTTTCCAACAAGCAAGGGCAGGAGAGAAAAGTGCTGTATTAAATGTGTCCTGCTTACCAGAAAAAAATATTAATTTGAAATTTATAATGCAAGTCTTTGAATGATTGATAAAAGTGTATTTCCACTTGCAGAATTCATATTCACCTCTTTAGGTGTTAATTTCTTTCTAACGAAGTCTCCCCCTTCAAACTCTAAATTCAAATGAAGTAAAGTGACTTACAACTATAAGCACTTTTAAAAAGTGCACACTTATTACTGAGCTTGCAGGACAATCTGGACCAAATCTTCTAAATATTTGCATTTATAAATCTGTTTGCTCTTACTTCTAGTGGAAAATATAAGGGAAGTCTTGATGTAAAGTCCAAATGCACTAGAACATTAATTTGGCATATGCTCTGTAACTGGAATGGCCTTGCAGAGCCGCTGTCGGAGTCCTTCCAGCCCAAGGTCTGTGAGGGAATCCTTAAACTTTGCCTTCCAACTCTCCTAATGCAGATATGTGAAAAACTGATTCTCCCAAGAAAAATACTTACAGCAAGAGAACCCTCCTTGATGGAGTGTTCCTTCTGAGCTGAGGGAGGTAGCAAAGGCCTTGAATAAACTCCTGTGACAATTATTTTTAGAGTCCTACATGTGGCTACTTGCAGATTATTTCATTTATTGCTTAACCCCATCTTGTACTTACAACATCTTCTGCCCTGATGTTTTCTATAATCTGTTTCTAATTCCTGTCATCTGTTCTTGTAAGAAAGTAATTATGTCTCTGATCAACAGGATATGGAAATCCACTTTGGACCATATTCTATGTCTCAGTTTTTAATATTTCCAGTTGTACTATTCACTGCATTCCTTAGCTGCATTTCATGGTCATAATTTTATATTAGAGCTTAAATTTCAAATTTTAACCCTTCCAACTGCTAATGGCCAAAGAGGAGTGATGAACATATTTGTTAAATGTGGAGTACTTTAACAAATTTATGTTTGTGGGAAAGATCAGAGAGACTTTATCTACTTCAGCAATGCTGCATCAATGATAAAGACTGGCCATCTTTAGGGAGAAAGTATATGTTGCAAAGTGGTGTGTGTCAGCATTTCACATTTCACACCAAGTAAAAAGGAGACCCAGGAAACTCAAGCAAAAGAAGAAATCAGATTTTTAATGTGTATTTTAGAAATGTCCACAAGCTAAAAAAGCAGCTCCTTTTTCAGTTATCATAAGGACATTAACAAATACAGTCAGAGCTGGGGTGGTGATAGGTCTCTTTTTGCCAGATTTGGAATCCAGTTGAACAGTGTGGGTTATGAATTTAGAATAAAGCTCAAAATAAGTTTTGAGGATAAAAAATCTCCTGGCTCTGGTTTCATTTCTAAGCCACTGCGTGCTTACTCTCAAGCTCCTTCTGGAAGCAACACAAGAGTTACTTTTGAACAAGAGTTACTTGTCTAGCACAGGCTCCCTCTTTTAAGAAACTTCTAAAGCCTTATTATAAGACCTTTGAAATAAAAATATTTTGTAAAGCTCAAAAAGCTCTATGTAACCCAAGGCATAAAACTGGACAACCCAGATATTACCATCCCTAAGGAAAATATGTTCTGTTTCATGGGAATGATGTAATTTCCTCTGTAGTGTCTTCTTGTACAAGATTAAATGCCAAATTTTACGTCAACAGCTGTGAAAAAGCACAACTGTCTAGTAGGTGCATGTGTATTTATCCTTCCCATTTTGTTTGGAAATTTCCACCTGGTTATTTAAATACTTAAAGGACTCTGCACATTGGTTCAGGGTATTTCTGAACTCACAGTGGATATAACTTCGAAGTTTTATGGCAACATTCAAACTTGAATGTTGCAAACTGCACATTTTAAATAGGCTCAGTCCTTTTAGCTTCCTTTTGGGAGTATTCTCAGCCTTTTCCATGAATACTTTTGCCTTTCTAGTTAGCCCATGTTCATATCAAAGCTGGGCACCTCACTCTGACCATTTAAACCCTCAAACCCAGAAACCCTCGTTGTGTTGTTGCCTTTGATGATACCAAAACTCACAGCTCGAAGTTGTACAAAGACAAACGTAGTTTTTGCTCCAGATTGACTCTTGCTCTTAGTGAAGAATCATCACTTGTTCAGACTTGATTTCATTTGAATCCTTCCTTCCACACTTGTCTCACTGGTACACCTGTGGCACACCACGCTCTTAAGCAGTTGTATATCTTAGTCACAAAATCCCATGAGAGAGAGGGATGGGAGTGAAGGGGAGAGGAGAGGTAGTGAGAACTTCTGGAAGCCATTGACCAGTGTAAGCTGCTTTACCTGTTTGGAGCGCTTGCATTTCTTTCAGAGCATTTACTTCTCGCCACAATTTGTCAATCTGGGTCTTCAGGTCATCTTTTTCTTAAATAAAATCAATATACATAAATTAACAGACATGCACACACACACAAATTAAAAAATTATATATTAAAAGCTGTTTCAAAATATAATGGGTTGCTGCATTGCTGAGATGTGTTTTGATTATTTTTAAAGATTTGTCCTTAATGAAAGAATTCCTGCAGGATTCCTATAAAAAACAGAAGGAACCCACCTCTACCTTTCATTCTCATAGTTTATCATGGACTTCATCCTAGTAACTGTTTGAAAACCATGGATTGTTGCAGCTGATCATTATTTAGTGAGTTGGTATCTAATATACAGAAAATGTATCATTTTCTTTTGAACCTGTACACTCTGGTGACATACAAATAATAGCAGGACACAGGTTGTATTTTTTCAAAGAAATGTTATTTCTATGAGCATGACAGTTTCACAGAACTGTTGTTTTAACAACAGTGAGGAACAACAAATGAAATCCAGCTGGACAGTCTGAGTACTGCAGTCAAGCTTGTTGAGCTGCAATCTCTCCTTCCCAGGATTGACCTTCCTCTCTCCCTCACTACAGACAGGGCCTGGGGACTTAAGTCACACAAATTCACTCTGAATCACTATTTTGTAGTACTTACAAAAGCACCAAGAATATGGTGAAACAAGAAAAGAAGCTAATTTGCACATAACTCCATTTTCATGTCTCCTTTTCTATTATTTTTTTAAAAAATCATTGTAATATTCCACCACCACCAAACAACCAGCAGGTATGGTTCCACTGCACAAGATGGCAATTATTTGGTGGCAGCAGCGACCAGACCTTCCAGAAGCCCCAGTAATGAACATGAGGAATTAATCAGCTGTTTCACATACTGCAGAACTAACAAACCCACCGTTCCTACAGACCTGTGTTACCTCCCCAGTCCTCCAGCTGCACCCTGGAAAGCTCCTCTCCACATTCCCTGCTGCCTGTGGGTATTAACCTCACTGTCCTTCATGGCTTCCCCAAAGCAGGACTTCCAATCTGTGCTACTCTGTGCTGGCACAAAATGTGTATAAGCAGCCTGTCCTTAGGATCCCAAACTTAAAACCCTGGAGGTTCCAATATCTATAACTGCATGGCTCCAGAGCAGTGCAATCTTCTTGTACAATGGCTTTATCAAAGCGTTTTTTTCATTAGCCAGGAGTTCAAATATTTGACACCAGTGTAACCTCCATCATACCCTCTTTTATTAGAAATAAGTCTTTAAATTAAATACACAGACATCTCCAAACAGCGTTCTGTGGTTTTGTATTTGCTCTGTAAGCTTTGCTGTGGGAATTGATCCTTTATCTTTTCCTGCTAATTCTTTTTCGTTGGTTTGACTTGCCATTTCACATTACTTTTCACACAAGTAGAGTAATATTCCACAAATATTAGACAGACATTCTGTTAAAATTTGAAAATGGTGCAAAAATCTGAACAATAATCCTTGGAGACTGAATACTTTATTCTGCTTTCCCCCCCCAAACATGAATTTCCATTTTTCTGATTTTAATCAATATAACTGTGTAACTGAGAATGACTGGCCAGAGTCCTCTCTCAGCTGTACCTGTGAGTTCTGAATAATGTTGACAGAGGTAAACAGACATAACAGAGCAATATATTTACAGCTTCTATATTGCTCTATTTCCATAACTCATACTGCCACCTTATTCTTGGCTTTGCTAACTCACATATAAATGTTTTAAAGACAAATATAGTATAGACTCAAATGTCCTTTGTTATTAAGCATTTGTATAATGTAATTTTCTGGTTCATGCAATGCTATTCAAAGTACACAGTAAATTTGCATAGACTATAAGCTTCTATCCCTCCTCCCAGTTAAGACCCAGTACCTTTCACTCTACGTTTGCTGTGCCTCCTGGCTTTGAATTTGGAAGCCTGGCTGATGGTCTGATCCACCAGTAGTAAACTTATGAGTAGGAAAATCATAAGTCCAGTTTGTGCCATGTCTCTTTGAAAGACCTTAACAAGGACCTTCAAGAGATTCTCTTCAGCAGCTCTGAGAGCAAGTCACACAGACACATCTCAGTGGGGACTGCCTGAGGTCAGGTTTATAAAGTCTGGTGGTAGGGTTGGCTCCGCTCCTTGCTTACGAACTGTGTGTAATACTTAAGCTGGCTGTAGCATAAGACACCCCCTTGTTCTCACATCCCATCTGAAATTCCTATTTCCATTTTGAGCTCAGCTGTTCCAGCACTGAACAGTGCACTGATTGCCTCACTCGTAAGCGCCGTATCTCCTGTTTTAATGCTGAAGCCAAAATGTACGGAAGATCAGATGAATGCCCAAAACCATGCTGTGCAATGCCAGCCCCAAGGAGGGGGAGCCAGAAGATTTCTACAAACGTCACAAGCTCACCCAGAATGGCTCTGTCCCAAACTGGGTAAGTCATGACAGTGACCATCCTCTTACACTGAAACAAAACCGGAACGTCCCTCCCTGAGTAAATGCAAACACTGCAACTACAGACCCACGTGGAGTATATATACAGTAAGATCACATTATGTGAGGGGTGCATTTATTGCTTTATGAAGAGTTAATAAATGCCTGATAGATATGACTGCATTTCTGAGTTAGAACAGTCCATGCAACCAGCAGGGTCTAGTCAGGGGAACAAAATGTAGTAACGCTCTTCCAAAGGTTTCCAAGTCTTGTCTCTAGGGTCAGAGGAAGAGTAAAACACTACGTGCTTGAAGCAGGACAGTGTCTCTCTGGATTCTCAAGAACTCTCTGCATTTCGTTTCGTGATCTCTTTCGTTTGCTCTTGGGCTCTGTGGACTTTTGTGGGGCTGCCTTTAACTAGGGTTGCTATGGGAAGTAGAACCTCTTACTGATTTGATGAACAAATGAAATTGTCACAAAAACGTGCTCATCCATCACATTTCTCCTTTTTTTGTTGTTTTGTTTTGTTTAGTTGTTTGTTTGTTTGGGGTTTTTTTTGTTTCTTTTTTCCCCAGTGAGAGAGAGTTTGTCCAAAATGTTGACACCAAAGCCATTGCTGGGTACTGGGTGCTGGCAGGTGCAGTTCATGCCCTTCAGAACTGTTCTTCCAGACATCCCTTTGCCATTTCTGCTTTGATTACATTCTGCTGCCTTTTTTTCAGAACTGGAACAGCAAGAGACTTATTGCTTTATTAAATGAAAGCTGAGATTTAGGAACGTGCTGGTGTACTACATAAATGCATACTGGCTTTTTCCAACCCCCACATAGAGTCTAAAAGCACTTCATAACTTATAATGCACACCTACCCCATGTGTCCTGGACACCTTTAAACAACTTGCTGTACTCTCATAGTCGGTAACTAGTAATTATCTCCTAATCATTAGTTAAGAAACTCTCCATAAATGCATTCTGATGTGATAAAACTTAGTTCCAGTGGTCCTGCTCCAAAATATTTAAGTATTAACATACATTTGGTAGGGAAACCTCTGGATTTTTGTGGTTGCTTGGTCCTCAGTGCTATTACAGAGCACAGCACACTGGAAATGGCTGTTGTGGGTCCCACCCATCCAGAACTGCCCAAAACATCCCACAGAGCTGCACATTTCAGTCCATGGTAAATGTGGAATGGGCTGGCATTCCAACTAGCACACCAGGAGCTGAAACATGAGCTGGTGGGGAGGAAAACAAGGAGCTTTGCAAAGGTCTAGTTCAAGATTTGATCTGCCATTTAGAACAAGCCCTAAGTTCAGGCTTGATCCATATTTTATTCCAGTGATATTAGGGCATCAATAGAAGTTAATTAAGGGCAGATGGCTGAATCAATAACTGCCTCCAGTTAGTTTTTCACTTGGTGCCTTCTCAGACCTTGTGGAATTACACCCGAAGCTGATCCTGAACCACTGCAGCTTACAACCTGACTAATGAAACTAGTGCTAATTCTGGGTTACCTTGATAAGGGAGCTTTAAACCCCTGGAGCTGTTTCATGTGGAGCTTAACTGTCCCACAGGCTTTGGGGGAGGCAGGACCAGTAGCTGGAGTCAATAAGCCTTTTAGTGTGCGTGTTTAAGGTCTCAGGATCAGAATGGATTTGTTCCTGCCCCAAGGAACCTGAGTTTGCTAACACAGGCTTCTTTTCTTTCTGTGAAATGAGTCTGACAGAGAAAGATTTGTACTCTACTGAGGCAACACACACCTCACTAGAAATGGAGGGATAAAGAAAACACAGATTTGGTATTCTGACAGTTCTTGGCCAAGAGTCTGAGGAAAAAACCTGCTTTTTGGAGTATGCCATGTAATGTCCTTTTAAGAACAGGGTTGAAATTCTGTTTTGAAACCTTCAATGCCCTCGTTCACTGGTCTCTCTGACCATTTAACCAGTTTGCAAGTAGCTCAGCTGGACTTCACCCCTAAAAAGGGAATCACAAAGCTGCCCTTGCAGCTGCTGGGATAGACCACAAGGATATAGGGTCTAGAATTCATCTAGAGTACATGAGAAATAGTTTTCATACTTATGACTAATCTACAGCAACTGAGGAAGCAAGTTCAACTTCTTGTATATGGTGTGTGGGCAGGAGAGCCAGAGAAAAGTCAAAATATGCTGCTGAGAAGATGTAACCTTCCAGTGCTACTGTGGGGAAGCAGGAAATGGAGCCACACAGGAGGCCTAGAGCCTCCCTGAAGTATTACCTGGTCTTGTATGGGCTTGAAACAAACATTATAATGTCATTTAGGGGTGGAATTTTTCTTTTACTAGCATAGTTACAGTAATATAATACAGCCAAGGGAGTGAACATAATTATATATGGATAGAAGCAATTTATTCCTGGAACAAATTATTCCACTTTCCATAACAGAATGTGCTATACAAATATAAATATTCTCATAGTTTTATAGCTGCATCCAGACTAGGATGGAATCATGCTTTTTTTATTTGCACCAGTACAGTAGAACTTGAGCATACAGACAAAATTGTGGTTTCTCTTGAAGTGCTTAGTTCACTTCAAAGCACTCTTGAAGTGCTCTGTCTGGTAAGAAACATCTTGCAAAAGCCATAGCTGTACTGCACTGGCACCAGGGGTTTTGGCTCCTGTCTCCCCACCTCATTCTGTTTGCTTTCAGACAACTGGACCATTCAGAGCAAAACCATCCTTTGGTAAAAGGTTTATTTCAGTTTCTCCACGGAGAGCCTTCAAGGTAAAACATCTATTTACTTCAGAGACAGTTCTACCTTTATATGCTCCTGTTAATTGGCTGAGAACTGTTCATTCAGCTGCTTTTTCCTCTTCATTCTCAGCCATCGCTGGGTTTCTGGAAAGAACAGGCAATGGGACAGAGTATGAGAAATCAGTGTGAGATGAGGACTGGATGCTGGGCTGAGCTCTTGAAATAGGTCTGGCTGCAGAAGTACCACAGTTCTTATAAAAAGTAAAAATCTTTAAAAAGATTTAGTGCTCCAGTCTGTTGGAAAGTGAACTGCTCACATGTTGCCAGTAGATTGTCTGTGTTTTACTGAGACCTTCAGTCCCCTTGTGCTGCAGAGCTAATTGTGCTGGGGGATGTTTGACCAAATGGGAAATGGATGGGCTGCATCTGCTACTGGAGTCAGAGCAAGCACTTGTTTTTTGCAGCATTTCAGTTCCGGAAAATTCAACTCAGCTTCAGGGCTTGTCAAAAAAAGCCTTGTATGTGAGTAACCATTTGCCCCTTCTGCTCACTATAAAGAGAAAATGAAAACTGAACAGAGCTGTTGCCAGGCTAAGGAGGTGCAAGTGGGGCAATCTAAAGAGCCAGTATGGCCAACAAAAGTAGGTAACACAGAGATTAGTAAAAGATTTATCACCTCTGATACATGAGTTTTTACCACTGTCTTGGGTGCTGAATGGGATCCACTGGTTGATTTTTATTTGTTTCAATTTAATGTAGCAAATTTTGCAAACTCTCCAAGTCACGGATTATGTCGTGTTTGGAAAATTACAGTAAGCTCAGTTTCTTTGGCCTTGCAAGTCTTTCTTAAGGATTTGATCTCAGTCCAGTCAGGTATGAGGCAGGATTATGGCTGACATCCCAATACCAAAGTTATTTTGGGGAAATTTGTGCAAACAAACCATGTTTAGAAAAGGAAAGGGCTGGCTTTATGGTATGTGAGGTTTTGTGAAACTTATTAATGATATTTTGGGTGTTTGCCACCAGTTTCAAGTTTTTTCCTGTCATGCTAATTTGGTGTTCTGAAAGAAAATTTGCTGTGTACAAGTGATCTGCTCTGTCTGTCAGAATTAAAGGAGGTCCCAGGTTTATTGCAGAACCAGGCTGCCCACCAGTGACCTGCACTGAGTTTTGAAATGAGGGCATTCATGTCTTCTTTAAATATCCCAGACACGTGCCTCACCTTGGCACTGTGGCACTGATACTGGGATTGATCAATAAATTGGCTTCTCAAGGTGGTATTTTCCTGTTCCAAACTGAGCTGTTATTACCTACAGGTCTGGTGCTTTTCACTTCCCATGCCTTAAATAGAGGCTTTAAAAAAAGAAGAAATTGAAGATATAAATAATGTATGTGTACTGAGAAGGAATTAGGGCAGTATTTCGAGCTTCTGGAATAAGTGCTCTTTGTATCTCTGATTTTGGGGTCATTGTAACAAAGCACCTCACAGCTCTGTCTCAGTGAGCAGAGAGGAGGGGAAATGGTTTGCAAGAGGCAGCAGAAAGACTTGTCTTACACCTATCACACATATTTAAGGCAAATAGCATCATCTTGTCTGTGTGACCAAACTGTCTCACCTGTATTCCTTTAATTCTCCTGTAATGGCAGTGGATATGGATTATAGGTTGTAAAGTGGCGAAAATGCAGTTTATCAAAGTCAGAAGAGACTTGGAATTCAGAAGAGATTCACCAAATCTACACAAAGCAACATGAGAAAAGCCACTGAGCTCTTCTTTTGGTTACCTGTCCACTGCAGTCTGCACTGACATTGTGCCTTTTAAAGATGTTCAGGTGTCTCAA